TTCCTTAAATAATTGTTCCTATTTTGAGTCATTCTTATTTGATTTTCCCATGTCCAATCGTGAAAACCTAAACTTTGAAATCTTGAAAGCAAAACCACCTGATCTTAATCGAGAGTTATCTTAAGTGATTCCGATTATTTAAGATGTAATTAACTATAGGGGCTTGCCTCTATAGGGAACCAGGAACCCAGATAAAATAAACCCTATCTAATTTTTATGTTAGATAGGGGAACTTGTTGGCCTTTTTATAAAATATTTCGCAGATCAAAACGGATGTCACAAATTGTTTAGTCTAGATGATTAAATCCCTATTACAAGTAATATATTTATTCTTCGGGATAAGTGTATTGCTTGTAGTATTGTATTAAATCATCTAAACTATTTGAAAATGTGAGACTCGTTTGGTCTCACTTATTTTAAAAATTAAAAAACGTTACTTCTTTAAAAAAAGTTATATTTATATTTAAATTATTTTCAAAATCCCAAAATCATCACCTTTTCAAACTACGAAAGTGAAGTTGAACAATAAAACGGCCGACAGGCCTCTACTTCTTTGCATGCAAAAATATCGTGCCTGGAGTCCCTTCTTTTTCTCTCATTGCTTGACGTCGACTTCACCTCCTGAACAGACGACCACTTCCAACTTCGAATTTGATGCAACAAGAATCACGCTCTGTTTGCCCCTTTCTTCGCATACGAGCCGTTTGCTTCTCTCCTACAAATGATGCTCCTCTTCTCCTTCACGCACGAAGCCCTCGGCGTCGACTTTTACAAATGGCGTCAAATCTTTGGTAAGAGAAGCACGCGAACCCTCCTTTTCCTTCTCTGGCTCCTGCTCTCGTTATCTTATTCGGTTCGTTAATTTGCTTCGAGTGGGACACTCACCTCCTTAAAACGAAGCCGTCGAGACAATCACTTCCTTCGAACAGACCTAATTATTTTATTTTTTTTTAACTATTAATACACAGATAGCCAGAAATATTAGAAATCCAAAGTTAACTGTAGTAAAGAAAAAGCAGCAATAAGTTGTTAACAGCCATAATTATAAAAGATAGTAACCAATAAATCAAAGTAACTTTTCTTCTAATCTCGACAAAGGACAATCTCAGAGAAGCATAACACTTGAAACTACTTATTCAAAAATTTGAAATTTAGGACCTAAAATTATAAATGAAAAGTAACGTATCCATTTAACATGCACTTCTATGTCACACGACACTGTTTAAACTTAAAAACAGCATTTACACCCACTGTACGGGAAAGATATTACATAACCAAAATTCAAAATTTGATTTTTGGCCGTGTTTGCCAATTGGAATTACAAAACCATTGTCCGATATGATATGAAAAGTACTTATTCCAGTACTACCAGTAATGACAACTCAGAACGGCCAACAAATGGCAAAATAAAAAAAGTTTAAAATTAAGGAAAAATATTTGCATTTGCAACAACAAAATTACTCTACAGTAGAGTTGACTTTCAATGATCAATTATGTTGCCGCCCATGTGTTGACTAGCTTGATGACCAATCAATCAAGAAATCCAACTATTAACCTCATACAAATTTTAGTAAATGGCCACAATAATATACCAAAGACTGCTGCAACTCTCTTCTTCACTATTATGCCCCTATTTTTACCTAACAAGCTGGCCTTAAATTTGGCAAAGAAAAAAATATATGCAAAGTTAGGCAGGCTTCCATGTTGGTTGCAATCGTGACGTGCTAAATATGGTTGAAAAGATGTAAGACTGACTTTCTTGCCTCACTGAAAGAACAAGCTTAGCATAAATTTTAAATCATTTAGTTGCACTAAACTGAACAGAAAAAAGACAACAGAAGTAAAATGGAATTAACTTTTATCAAGACTTCTGACAATGCAATATGGGGTTCCTAATTTCTTGTAGACATCAGAGTTCTAAGAAAACATAGATTTGAATAAGGAAAATACCTGTAGAGCTTTGCAGGTGATTTTTCCATAAACACGTCATCTTCACCTGTTGGCTTTTTGCCAATAGGTGCAAAGCCACCAAAGAGAACCCAGAATTCACCCGAGTCTGACTCTGCTACGAGCTTCCCATCATCTAATCTTGTGAACAAAAAAGCAAATCATAAATGAAGTATTCAAAATTGAAGGCAATACAAAAGAAATACAAATTAATAATATGCAAGGCAAGCTTACCAATAATAGCAACATCACACTTTCCTTCATGGTATTTATCCTTCAAATATTGTATCACTTCTAAAGATTTAGCTCTTTCTTGGATGTTTGAGTTGGCACCATTAAATTGATATATTTTATTTTCAGTGTCCAAAATAAATACATCATCGTGATTTAATGAAGAACGTGCAAATAGAACCTGTTCAATAGAGCACCTCCGCAATAACCTCCACAGAAGATGCCAGCTTAATCATGAAAACAAACAAAAGAACTTTAAAGCTACTCACTTGCTTCATTCTTACAACTCTCTTGCCCCTACAAACAAAAAGACGACTTTCAAACTTCTCCTCTTCTGGCTTTTTAAATCCAGAGGCAACACCACCCTCAAGAGGAATGATGCATGGCTTAAAGTAAGACAAAAACTTGTCAGATTCATGACCCTGAAGTTCTCTGTGTTGAACTGCACGACCACCAAGAGAAGCATCAAGTTCAATTGTCTTGATTGCTGCAGTTCCAGCTTCATCCTGGAAACAGTTTATCAATCAAAATAATGAAGACCATCTCAGTACGAATCTTTAAAAGTTTAAAAAAGGGGCATTTACAAAGATAACAACAAATTCCTATGAATTTACATATCTAACACCTAAACTTCCTTTTTACATTTATGCCGCCTAAATTTTTCATATCACAACAAAAATACCACTATTTTAACTTTCAAAAAGTGAAACAGAATTTTTTCCATACATATGTAAGGTGGCATATATGTAAAAATTGAAGTTTAGATGTTAGATATGTAAATACATAGAAATTCAGTGGTATGTACGTAAATATTCATTGAAAAAAAAGGTGGGCAACATACTTGACTAGTATCTTTCCCAATCCAATAATGAATGTCATACACGTAAGAACCACCTTTGCCAGAAGTAGTCTGCAGGAGAGCGATGACTTACATAAAAGAGACCAAAAAGAAGCTTCCACGGGCATATAAGATAGAACTTGAAGAACAAACATTCATAGTGCAAAAACCAAATAAAAAGGTGAAAAAATATCATTGTGAACAGTGTCACAATGAAAACATGTGATAGTAAATTGCCCAAAAGCCATCCTTCTAGTTTAACGGTCAATGAATATAAGTTTGGAGACCTACATGCAGAAAATTATTGACACAAGGGCTCCCTCCAAATTTCAGAGCAAATGTGCTGAATCAGATCAGATGGAGAAACACTTGTGATGCTTACCAAAAGACCAACAGCTAAAAATATATAATATTTTAACAGAAATGTTACGTTAGCAGCCCAAAATTTTATTGATATCATAGTATTAAATATATATATATATATATATATATATATATATATATATGTATTGTACTCAATCTTTTCATAAGCCAATTCAACTTAGAAATGAATCAAGACTATTTTTGGGCATGTGGGCAGAGCTAGCATACTTATAACTAAAAGAAGAAAATAGTCTAAATGGACCTACGACTATCACGATGGACGGTTCAATTTTAATCTCAAACTATATAAAAATTCTGATTTACTCTCTGGCTCTTAAAATAAAAGCTAAAATGATCATGTCATTAAAAAATAATGAAAATCAAAGTTAAAATTAATGTTTGATGTTGAAAATGAGTGTTTTTAAAAACTACACCTTTTCTTAAAATTTTATAAAATATGATTTCTTATGCCTTGTTTGTGATATAATCTATTGACAACTTTCCCAATACTTTTTTTACTTCAATTTCAAATGCTTATTGAAGTACATATTAAATTTGAAATTTTCATAAATTATTATTGACAAATTTCTTACAAAATATCCCATATTAAAAAGAAAAAGAAGAAGAATCTTTATTAGATTTTGTAAAAAAGTTAAAATGTAAATTCCAAAAATCCCTTTTTTGAAAGACATCAATTAATTTTAACTTCAATTTTTGTTACTTTTAAAAAGGGTCATTTTGACTCTTATTATAAAAGTTTAGGGACTAAATCATACAGTTTATAAAATATGGGGCAAAAATGGCCCCCCACAAATAGTGAAAGGACCATTTTCGCCATTTTCTCTGTTTAAAAGCTACAAAATTGTTTGAGAATCGTTTCAAAATAACAAAGATTTTTCTTACAAGTAAAATTTCTCATGTTAAACCAAATATGAAATGATTTTGTTTAACTTGAAATAATCCGAGCTGTTTAACTTCTAATGTTTACAACATTGTTCCGAGTGCCCAAATATTAGCAAAATTCTTCAGATAATACCAAAGATGATTTATAAATAAAATGAATTTGAAAGTAATAGTATCTTTAATAAGAACAATTTTGGAATTTCTATCAGGCCTTAGCTGAAAGTTTAGACATTTTAAAATTATAAATGCCTGAAATTCATTGTACGAGATTTGCGGAGGATTTTTTTAATATTTATAAAATACATTATAAAATCTATAAAAATTTTAGAAGATGGTTATCAAGCTAAAAAAAAATAACTATTTGCACCATCCATACCAGCTAGCCAAGCAACAATGATAGCTTAGCAGAGTCGAGCAAGTTAGCTCATGCCAGCCTTAATCCAAGGTCAAGGAGGAGGTTGACTTAGAGGGTAGCTTTAATATGTGTCGATATGAGATATTGATTTCCAAGGCATAATTCCAGGCTGGTCAACGTCAAAGGTACTGTTTGTTTAAATAATGAATGATTTCTTAAAATCAAGTGTGGCAAACATGAGGAATATAATCCAAAAGGTTCACATACTATCCACTAAAGGCCCTTCTTCTAAGTTAATCTGTGTCTAGATGGAGGGTAACCAATTTATTTATAATCAAAAGTTTAAAATACAATGTGAGAAAAAAGATCAAGGCTAGCCAGACTCGGAAAAAATTCATTGACCCCATCCGCTACAATTCCAAAACTCATTCGTGGGATATAAAACTCTTGAATACTTTATCCCTCGTCCTTCATTGGCCAACCAATCAACCACACAACTAGCCTCACGCCAACTGTGATCGAAATGAGTTTGAATAGATATGAAACAATGTTTATGTATTTACATATCTACCGCCTAAGTTCTAATATTTATTTACCAAGGATTATTTTGAAATTTTTCTCCATAATAATATGAGAATACAATACATTACAGCTTCATCAGCTGAACCTTCAAAATCATTAAAAAAAAATTGAAGGGTACAAAAGTTCTATGATAAATTCTTTGTTAAATTTGTAATAGCTATGAATTCAATTAGTGGCGTTTTCTTTACCTTCAACACCAAATTCAAACAAGGAAATTAGATTTCTTATAAAACAACAAATTCTTACTCCAAAAAAATGTCAAAACCTCTGCATCCACGTCAGCAAACTCGTATAGACAACTTTTCCACAAGGCAGCTCTCAAACACAACAAAAATGAGAGGGAAAATATACACACATACTACATAATTCTTATGTATTTATATATCTAACGCTTAAACTTTCATATGTACATTTATAAATTATGCACTGAAAGGTGCATTTCACTTTTTAAATGAAGGTGAAAGTAGTATTTTTTATGTAATATTAAAGTTTTGAGTGTTACGCATGTAAATATTAGAATTTAGGTGTTGCATGCGTAAATAAGTAAGAATTGTGTGGCATGCATGTAAATGCCCCCAAATAAAAAACAGCAGGAAAATCCTACACATGGTATAAAGAGCCAAAGAACCTAAAACACATCAACAGGATAGATGATCACATCCACATTCCCATAAAAATCCTTAAATGAAAAATCTAGCTTTGTGCAACAAAAATGCCTCTTTGAATAACAATTCGGTGCATAATCATAGCCGTAATCCTGCTATGAGCACAGTAATCTATCGAGTTTCCTTGAACATTAAGGCACACTACATACCATACAATAAGACCACAGATCTAGTAAAAAAAACAAGGGCAAACAAACTAGCATATCGACATAGCAACTCAAAATGATTTGAACAGCAATGCTTGTGATATGGAAGAAAGAAAGGGAAATTTAAATACAGACCACACAATTCTTATGTACTTACATATTCAACACCTAAACTTTGATACTTTGTATTATAAACCTATGCATAAAAAAATGTATTTCACTTTTAAAAGTTAGTAATAGTGGCATTTCTTACATAATGTTAAAAGATTTGAGTGGTATGCATGTAAATATCAAAGTTTAGGTGTTGATATGTAAAATATAAGAACTGAGTGGTATGTATGTAAATGCGACAAAAGCAAATGATAGGGCAGATCATAACCACCATTGGTACATAGGAAGAAATCATTGAAAAGGAATTGCTAGTTTTACCTGTAAAATGATATATGAATCCCCTGAGTAGAATTTACCATGGTCAGTCTTTGGCAGAGGAACTGGTTCAAAGTTCTCAATACGCCAAATCTCAGTGCCTCTATGCGGTGTTAAGTAAATGATAAGCACTTAGGACAATAAGCAATAAATATCTACCTCAAAGTGCTCACGAAAAATCCTAAATAGCCGAACATATGTTACAGTAAGGATACACTCTTTGGCCAGCTCCTTGAAATGCAGGGTCCAGAATTTTTGTAGAGGTGGACATAGTGTGATTCTAGCCTTCTCAGATATCTACAATGATATCAATATCAGATGTTTTATCAGCGTTGTCAGTTATTTGATCGAATAAGTTTACCAATATCATACGAATTCTCCAGCATTTTTCTACATAAAAACCAGTTATATCCATTCCTAAGATTAAATCTTAACAGACAATTCAACATAATTTTTTAATAATATTTTATATCAATCCGGAATTAGGATGGTAAAAATTCAAAGATAAGAATATGCTGGAAAATATATATCAATGAACTTCAAAAAAATGGCGTAAAATGTGAAATTTTTTTTAATCACATTTAACATGTACCTTTAGATGAATTCGCGCATATACTACTTTAGGAGTACGAAAATTCCAAACGCTTTACAATCAATAGAAACCAAATAAAAGACTAAAAATCAGTACACTGCAACATCTCAAAGAATCAATAAGAAAGCCTACTTCACAGGTTGTTTTCAACACCACTCTCCTCGTCGGTCTCCATCAACAATCGCCGAAGCTTCCTCTGAATCAAACCCTCTACCAAATGTGAAATCTAAGGCCTACGGCAAGCACTCCCGCCACTTCTCCAGCACCCAATCAAAATCATAGTAATCTACAGTCTCTCCTACCCTACCAACCACATCAATTAGAGCTGGCAGATAGATAAGAAAACGCCGGCAAACCCGCGGATCTAGTCAGCGAGCACCAAACCTAGAGATAAATAAGATTTGCCATAAAAAGACGAACAAACGAAACCGAGCTCATTAAACAACCCATCGATCAATAACAGTGGAAAACTTCATTCCATAATCAAAAATACCAGTCCGGTCTCGTTCCAGGCAAGAAGATCATTATCTCACGCGTCGATGCTAAGCTAGCAAAATACAGGCAATCACGCAGCACAAACAATTCACAAAATCAAGTTCCAGAAATAAAAAAAATGAACGAAAAAGAGAAGAGGGATCGAGAAATTGGTACTCGCGATGATTCGCGGAGGCGGAAACAGCGCGAATTGGGATCGAAATGTCGGGATGGGTTGGCAGAAGATGCGATTACTTATTGAAGCGAAATAGCGAATGACTTCTTTCTCTGTCTTCGCTTCTGTCAGTCTAGCTTTTATTCCCCCCATTAAAGGTTCTCCACCAATGAAATAATTATGAGAAATATATTTTCATCTATTTATATATTTAGTAGACAAATGTTACTTCAAAATATGATTTAAAAATTAATAAACTTATCCTTAGATTAATATTATAATAGGTACTAAGTTCAACAAAATAAATTTATATTACAATATTATGATATAGTTTTTTATTTTTATATTTAGCATTATAATAAGTTTGTTTGGGACACTTTTTCACTTGTTTTGTGTTTTATCATCAGTTCTGACTAGATGCGGTGACAACTTTTTAGCTGCAGTTAGACTTTAAAAAAAAAAATTTGTAATAATCACTGTAACATTTTGAACATCAGATTATCTTTTAGCTTTTCACAACTATTTTTTTATGTACCGCAGCTGTCCCAAATAGACTGAAATATGAGAAAATTGTGACAAAAGCTTGTTGGACAACCCATTAATGAGATGATGGAGTCGCCATGTAACTTATTAAGGACATGTATCTAATGGTATGGGGATAATGAAATCACAAAAGAGTCAATAAAGACATTCAATGATCATATAACTATTGAATTTAGATATTAAATATATAAATTAAAAAATTAATGTTATGCATATAATTTCTCCTAATATTAAATAATTTAACATTAATAATTAATTTTCATTTCATTATAGATATATACGCACACATACACATAAATGGACACGTGATTTATTGACAAAATTATTATTCGAAGTAAATCTGTCAGCTCGATAAGAAAATCTTATTATATTAAATTATTTTCGTAAAGCTTTCGGACCGACCAAACCGCCACGCAGGACTATCAGTCAGCACAGGTGACTTTTGGGCCAGGGTAACTGGGATCGGCTCGTTTACGAGAAGAACGGAAATTTATGCTTTGATGATCGTGACCGTCCATTTTTGCCCAGATCGTGCCGCGCACTAAGGACGTTTTTTTTAAAATTTTGAAGGTTAGATTAATGAAATCTAGGTACGGTACAACTAATTTATTGTAATTCATAAAAAATAATAATAGTAACTCCATGTTTGGTATGACGACATCTCAAATCATATGTGATTTATTATTTAAATATAGATTAATTAATATGAATTAATTTAATTATTTATTTAATATCATATATCATATATTAATATTAAGAATATTTAGAATTATTTATTAATAATATATTTACTTTATTAATATTTTTAGGAGGATTTACAGATTTAATAACTAAACTTCAATTTTTCACATAAGCACCATCTTACCTGTGCATGAAAATTGCATTTTACTTCTTAAAAATTAAAATGCTGATATTTTTTATGAGATATGAAAGATTTTTTGTGGCATAAATGTAAAAATAAAGATTTATGTGTTACATATGTAAATACACAGGAATGGGGTGCTATTTATGTAAATGCCAGTGTTTTTAATTATTTAAACTAATTTATTTTTGGCTGCTCCTAAAACATCCAATGGATTGCAAGTCCAAACCTAATGTTTATTTTCTTTCAATTGTCACTTGTAGAGTCGTCTCCGATCTAAAGCGATGAAAATTTGGAGTTTTATTTACATAATTAGGGGAGACGGCGGAATAAACTATTTTATCAAACAAAATTTAAGCCCTTGTTTGGGGCGGCTTATTTGGTGTGGTGGTAGCTTGCTATCTCCATTTGGCTTGTCCGAAAAAAAAAATTGCAATGGTCATTTCAGCTTTTTAAACAACACATTTTGTTTTCAGCATCTTATGAGTAGCTTATTGAGAAATTATAGTTTATATTTAGGCTTTAATGTTCACTCGACATAATTGATGGTGACTGCTTTCTCCAATAGAGCCTTAGGCTCTGTTTGACGCAGTTGCAGTTTCTCAGCTTTTCATGTGCAGTTATGCTATCCCAGAAAACTGTTACGGGAAAGCTGGCTGCCTGTTTGTTGCAGCTGTATGAAAACTGTTGTTGGATAACTGTTTCTGAAAATTAATTATTCTGCCTCTGTTCAATAAATTTGTTTGTAGTAGAACTATGACATCCAATTAGTTAATAATTCAGAAGTATGAATTAAATTATATTGTTTTAAAAAAAATCATTTAGTCATGTTATTATTTCCAAAAATAAACTATAGATAATGATCCAAGGGTATCAAATAATATTCATAAAGCAATTTATTCATGCTCACACACTGCTCAATTCCTATGTATTTAAATTTCTAATACTTAAATCTCTTTTTTTACATGTGTGCTCCTTTATCTATGCGTGAAAAACAATTAAATATTATTGTGTTTTGAAGTGATATTAAATGCATAGAAATCATCAAATTATTATGCTCTGTGTGTTCTAAATATAAAATTTCTATGAAATAAATTATAGGAAAGAAGAAAAAGATCACTAATTTCTATGAGTGATTCTGCGTGCATGCAAAGTATTACATTAATAAGTAAATAAACAGAAATTGGAGAAGATGACTAATGTTATGTGCAGGAGGATGAAGGTAACAGATATACGATGCATCTCAACATCATTTGCCAATTTGAATATTAATGAGTGCTTACCACAAAGCTGATCTCTGCCTCAGGAAAAATTATTCCATAAGGATCGGAGCGTGCGGTGTCCGATCCGGACCGTAAATCACCTAATCTACGGTCTCGATGTATTTTGGTGGGCCCCACCTAAATTTTTTATTTATTTAATTTTTAATGGAAATAATCCTGACCGTAGATCACCGTGATCTACGGTCATGATCGGACACCGCATGCAGAGATGCACTGCATGCGGTGCCCGCACGCAATAATTTCCCCTGTCTCAGAGAAGTGTTGCCCACCAAACACAAACAAATCGCAGCGTGGTGTCACGATGCAGGTAAAACTCCGCTCCAAATGCAGCCTTAGTCAAATGTCATAATTGGCACCACGGTTTACCAAGCGTAACTATGAATCAGTAAATTTTATAATTTTTTAAAATTTGTCATTTTTTATATTAAATTTAGATTCTCATATTTTAAAATTTCTCAAATCAAAATATTCATAAAATAATAATCACGAATAACTAATTAAGATAACTATGTAATGATTAATATAAAAATTATGTTCAACAAATTTAAGGGATGATGTAAAGCAAAGATATATATATATATATATATATAT